TKTCTCAATAAGGTCACTCAGGACTGAAGGAAGATGAAACAGGAGAAATTAAAGAGAACCCCAGATAATCCCTTTTGCAGAACTGCCAGAGAACAGGGCCTGACCCACTCTCCTTTAGCAAAGAAAAAAACAAATGCAAAGCACCTCAGTGGCTCCTGGGAAGGCTCCATTCTGCTTAGAGGTGCCAAAGCATTTTGGGCTCCAAGTGCTGCTCGGACAAGGTGTTTGCTTTGTCAGAAGATGATGCTCAGTCAGCCCTGTGACTGCTCCAGCAATCAGTGGGTGCTGAAGCGTGGAGGAGCATCTCAGCACCATCTCCTGAGAGAGCCTGTCTTCTCCCACGAGCCAAATATGAGATGCTGCAGTGACAGCAGAAGCCTGGGCAAGTGAAACATATGCCATGGTGGAGTGGCAGGAAAGCTCCAGTGATTCTGATTTGCTCCTTATGGACACCCCAAAGTGAGCAGAGCAATCATCTCAGCGCTTCTTCAAGTTGTCACTGAGCAAAAAAAAAAAACAAAAACAAAAAAAAACAGTGCACAAAGGTTGGATGGCAGCAGAGAGGTAGAGAGAGTAGGCAGGAGAAACCTGAAAATGAAAACAAACTTGTACCTTGCACAGATGGGAGGAAATGTCTCTCTAAGTCCCCATTGCCACAGAAAGCCCTTCTGCCATGTAAAGGAGCAACCCACCTTTGAGGGGGAGAGGAAATATGGCAAAGGAGCAGGATAAACAAAGTGTGGATCAAAGGGGAAAAAAAAAAGAAAAAAAAAAAAGTGGAAAAGTGCTGATGGAGGAAGCTGGGTGAAAGACAAGGCAGAAGTGTTAGCTGCTCAAATTAACATTTTAATGCATTCCCTGTAAAATTCAAGCACTGGGGTGAGCCCCCTTCACAAGGAGCAGATTGGTGACTTAGCAGCACAAAAGCAGCAGGATTTCAACCCAGGATTCACCACCAGCAGGTGAACTGCAGTTATGGGGCAGATAAYGGGGCAATCTTTGGTCAGTGAGGTTTGAGGTGACAGTGATGGAACAAACCCACAGAACATATGGCATTTCATGTGCTGGAACTGTCAGGCTCACAATTAACTGATTCCAGTGCATATGGTGCTCACAGGCAGGGGAAATCTCTCAATGTAAAAGATGCTGGAGACCATTGAAGGTGTCAGCATGAGCCTTCCTTGCAAATCTCTCTTCATTAGAGTTTCGTACGRAGCCAGGAGTGTTGCAATAAAATCACTATTAATGCAGTTATATTTATGATTATCTCCCTTTTGTGCAGCTGGATTTAACTTTTCAAACACTTCAAAGCTTTTTCACAGGAGCTGCTGCGTGACAGAAGCATCTTGTTTTGTCATATTTACCTCAAAATTAGAAGTAATGAGAGCTAAGGTGGTAAAAGTYAACCAAGATTGGCAAGAAAACTATTAATACAACCAGTATCAAACTAAAAATTCAGGCTCCCAGAGAAATACAGTTACAATTCTGTTCAAGTATTTATAACAGGCAGGCCAGGGACAAACTCATTCCCTCTCCAGTTCCTAAACACATTTTTAAAAAGATGGTGAGTGACACTTCATTAACCATGTGAAATGGGCTGACACAGCCCGCTTGCTTTTCCAGCCACCATTTCAGATGACATTTTTCTCTGCATCTCTCCATGCTTCACGTTGAACACTTGGTAAAATGCTTCCTT